GCTCACATTTACGGTGCGGGCGTTGGCTTAGGAATGCGCCTAGGAGGCATCAGACCCTGGGGGATTCCTTATCCGATGAGGGCGGTGGCGATGCCCATGGCCGATCCACAATTGGAGGTCCGCTGGCTTCGAGACCCTGGATTCCTTATCCAATGATTCTTGATCCAATGCCCTCGCCGTATTGTAGCGCCAATCAAGAGCATAAGAACCACGTCCGGGTTAGATGTGTTTGGTGGTTTCATGGTGTTTTCATGCTTACATGTGTGCGTGCATTTAAAAGTGTGTTGGTGCGCGCTTATGCGTCCAGCACGACACGCAATTAGATGACGATGTGCGCGTATACGGAACCACGGGACACCCGCAGGACCACCGCGGGACAACCCATGGGACAACCCGCGGGACCACCACGGGACAACCCACGGGGCAGCCCTTGGGACAACTGTGGGACTACCCACGGGACAGCCACGGGACAACCTACATGGCCACTTCGAGACAGGGTCTGGGGGCCCACCACCGTCTGGCACAAATCACGAGGCCGACGCCGGGCTCCACCGACGAGTCTTGCGACTCCGTCTCACACCGCGCTGTTTGCCAACGCGCCCATGGGCGGCTCGCGGGCTGGTGCGTCGAACCTTACCCAGCGGGACGTTGACCGCGTTCACAGTCACAGCCCCAGCTGGAACAATCAGCCACCGCCCACCCGCTTAGGCGCGCGATCGCGCTTCCCCCCCCGCCGTCGCCTCCGACGGCGCGGAACTGGTATAACTGGATAGAACTGGTCATAGAACTGGTCATAGAACTGGGCCATTGAAAATAGGGTCCGGCCTAGAACTGGTCGCATTTAGAAAAAGAATTCTTGATATTCTCTCATTTTCCTTAATTGGACCGACCAGTTCTAGGCCGGACCCTATTTTTAATGGACCAGTTCTATGACCAGTTCTATGACCAGTTCTATCAGTTCTACGCAGTTCTATCCCGCGGTGCCAGCCTCCCTCTGGATTCCGCCGCCCTCACTCCGACTCCCTTCACCTCCCCCACACCTCCTCCCTCCCCTCCGCCCTCCTCCTCCTCCTCCTCCGCACTCTTTCCCGTCCCTCAGCACTCCTTTGGAAGCAACCCTACTCCCTCCCATTCCTCCGAAGTCTTCCGCCGCCCTCCGCACCTCTCCTCCCCCTTCTGTCCGTGCTCGGGCTTTCGCGCGAGACGCGCTCACATTTACGGTGCGGGCGTTGGCTTAGGAATGCGCCCAGGAGGCATCAGACCCTGGAGGATTCTTTATCCGATGAGGGCGGTGGCGATGCCCATGGCCGATCCACAATTGGAGGTCCGCTGGCTTCGAGACCCTGGATTCCTTACCCAATGATTCCTTATCCAATGCCCTCGCCGTATTGTAGCACCAATCAAAAGCATAAGAACCACGTCCGGGTTAGATGTGTTTGGTGGTTGCATGGTGTTATCGTGCTTACATGTGTGCGTGCATTTAAGTGTGTGTTGGTGCGCGCTTATGCGTCCAGCACGACGCGCAATTACATGACGATGTGCGCGTATACGGAACCACGGGGCACCCGCAGGACCACCGCGGGACAACCCATGGGACAACCCGCGGGACCACCACGGGACAACCCACGGGGCAGCCTTTGGGACAACCGTGGGACTACCCACGGGACAGCCACGGGACAACCTACATGGCCACTTCGAGACAGGGTCTGGGGGCGTCTGGCTCAAATCACGAGGCCGACGCCGGGCTCCACCGACGAGTTTTGCGACTCCGTCTCGCACCGCGCTGTTTGCCAACGCACCCATGGGCGGCTCGCGCGCTGGCGCGTCGAACCTTACTCAGCGGGACGTTGACCGCGTTCACAGTCCCAGCCCCAGCTGGGACAATCAGCCACCGCCCACCCGCTTAGGCGCGCGATCGCGTTTCCCCCCCCGCCGTCGCCTCCGACGGCGCGGAACTGGTATAACTGGGTAGAACTGGTCATAGAACTGGTCATAGAACTGGTCCATTAAAAATATGGTCCGGCCTAGAACTGGTCGCATTTAGAAGAAGAGTTATTGATATTCTTCAATTTTCTTTGATTGGACCGACCAGTTCTAGGCCGGACCCTATTTTTTAACGGACCAGTTCTACGACCAGTTCTATGACCAGTTCTATCAGTTCTATCCAGTTTTTTCCCGCGGTGCCAGCCTCCCTCTGGATTCCGCCGCCCTCACTCCGACTCCCTTCGCCCCTCCCGCACCTCCTCCCTCCCCCTCCGCCCTCCTCCTCCGCACTCTTCCCCCTCCTTCCGCACTCCTTTGGAATCATCCCTACTCCCTCCCATTCCTCCGAACTCTTCCGCCGCCCTCCGCACCTCCCCCCCCCTCTGTCCGTGCTCGGGCTTTCGCGCGAGACGCACTCACATTTACGGTGCGGGCGTTGGCTTAGGAATGCGCCCAGGAGGCATCATACCCTGGAGGATTCCTTATCCGATGAGGGCGGTGGCGATGCCCATGGCCGATCCACAATTGGAGGTCCGCTGGCTTCGAGACCCTGGATTCCTTATCCAACGATTCCTTATCCAATGCCCTCTCCGTATTGTAGCACCAATCAAGAGCATAAGAACCACGTCCGGGTTAGATGTGTTTGGTGGTTTCATGGTGTTATCGTGCTTACATGTGTGCGTGCATTTAAGTGTGTGTTGGTGCGCGCTTATGCGTCCAGCACGACGCGCAATTAGATGACGATGTGCGCGTATACGGAACCACGGGACACCCGCAGGACCACCGCGGGACAACCCATGGGACAACCCGCGGGACCACCACGGGACAACCCACGGGGCAGCCCTTGGGACAACCGTGGGACTACCCACGGGACAGCCACGGGACAACCTACACGGCCACTTCGAGACAGGGTCTGGGGGCCCACCGTCTGGCTCAAATCACGAGGCCGACGCCGGGCTCCACCGACGAGTCTTGCGACTCCGTCTCGCACCGCGCTGTTTGCTAACGCGCCCATGGGCGGCTCGCGCGCTGGTGCGTCGAACATTGCCCAGCGGGACGTTGACCGCGTTCACAGTCACAGCCCCAGCTGGGACAATCAGCCACCGCCCACCCGCTTAGGCGCGCGATCGCGCTTCCCCCCCCGCCGTCGCCTCCGACGGCGCGGAACTGGTATAACTGGGTAGAACTGGTCATAGAACTGGTCATAGAACTGGGCCATTAGAAATAGGGTCCGGCCAAGAACTGGTCGCATTTAGAAGAAGAATTATTGATATTCTTCAAATTTCTTTAATTGGACCGACCAGTTCTAGGCCGGACTTTATTTTTAATGGACCAGTTCTACGACCAGTTCTATGACCAGTTCGATCAGTACTACCCAGTTCTATCCCGCGGTGCCAGCCTCCCTCTGGATTCCGCCGCCCTCACTCCGACTCCCTTCGCCTCCCCCGCACCTCCTCCCTCCCCCTCCGCCCTCCTCCTCCTCCTCCTCCGCACTCTTCCCCCTCCTTCCGCAGTCCTTTGGAATCATCCCTACTCCCTCCCATTCCTCCGAACTCTTCCGCCGCCCTCCGCACCTCCCCCCCCCCCTTCTGTCCGTGCTCGGGCTTTCGCGCGAGACGCGCTCACATTTACGGTGCGGGCGTTGGCTTAGGAATGCGCCCAGGAGACATCATACCCTGGAGGATTCCTTATCCGATGAGGGCGGTGGCGATGCCCATGGCCGATCCACAATTGGAGGTCCGCTGGCTTCGAGACCTTGGATTCCTTATCCAACGATTCCTTATCCAATGCCCTCGCTGTATTGTAGCACCAATCAAGAGCATAAGAACCACGTCCGGGTTAGATGTGTTTGGTGGTTTCATGGTGTTATCGTGCTTACATGTGTGCGTGCATTTAAGTGTGTGTTGGTGCGCGCTTATGCGTCCAGCACGACTCGCAATTAGATGACGATGTGCGCGTATACGGAACCACGGGACACCCGCAGGACCACCGCGGGACAACCCATGGGACAACCCGCGGGACCACCACGGGACAACCCACGGGGCAGCCCTTGGGACAACCGTGGGACTACCCACGGGACAGCCACGGGACAACCTACATGGCCACTTCGAGACAGGGTCTGGGGGCCCACCACCGTCTGGCTCAAATCACGAGGTCGACGCCGGGCTCCACCGACGAGTCTCGCGACTCCGTCTCACACCGCGCTGTTTGCCAACGCGCCCATGGGCGGCTCGCGCGCTGGTGCGTCGAACCTTACCCAGCGGGACGTTGACCGCGTTCACAGTCACAGCCCCAGCTGGAACAATCAGCCACCGCCCACCCGCTTAGGCGCGCGATCGCGCTTCCCCCCCCGCCGTCGCCTCCGACGGCGCGGAACTGGTATAACTGGGTAGAACTGGTCATAGAACTGGTCATAGAACTGGTCACAGAACTGGGCCATTCAAAGTAGGGTCCGGCCAAGAACTGGTCGCATTTAGAAGAAGAGTCAATGATATTCTTCAATTTTCTTTAATTGGACCGACCAGTTCTAGGCCGGACCTTATTTTTAATGGACCAGTTCTATGACCAGTTCTATGACCAGTTCTATCAGTTCTATCCAGTTCTATCCCGCGGTGCCAGCCTCCCTTTGGGTTCCGCCGCCCTCACTCCGACTCCCTTCGCCTCCCCCGCACTCCTCCCCTCCCTCCGCCCTCCTCCTCCTCCTCCGCACTCTTCCCCCTCCCTCCGCACTCCTTTGGAATCATCCCTACTCCCTCCAATTCCTCCGAAGTCTTCCGCCGCCCTCCGCACCTCTCCTCCCCCCTCTGTCCGTGCTCGGGCTTTCGCGCGAGACGCACTCACATTTACGGTGCGGGCGTTGGCTTAGGAATGCGCCCAGGAGGCATCAGACCCTGGAGGATTTCTTATCCGATGAAGGCGGTGGCGATGCCCATGGCCGATCCACAATTGGAGGTTCGCTGGCTTCGAGACCTTGGATTCCTTATCCAGCGATTCCTTATCCAATGCCCTCGCCGTAGCCGCCTCGGCTCACGAGCCGCGCCGCAGGGCCGCCCCGCGCGCCCGCCGTGGCTCCGACGCTGGCGGCGATGGTGCGCCCCCGCCTGCGCCTCGCGCGGTCGCTGGGGGCGCCTTCGCTCGCGGGCCCCGCCGCCGCTGAGCGCGGCCTTGGCGCTCGAGGAGCTGGAGGCGCGTCGCCGCCGCCGTGGAGGCCGCGGGGCAGGTGGGCCGCAGTCGTGGCCGCGCGGGCGCGCCGTGGAGCGGAGACCGCGCGTCACCGGCCAGAGCACTGGGCAGTGCGCCTCGCCGCGGCGCTGCTGGTGGCCCCTGCCGCGGCCGGCCTGGAGGCGGAGGGCGCGCTGCACCGCCTCCTCCCGATGCCCGAGGCCCCCGTTGTGGGCTCCATCTGCCTCGACGACCGCGTCGTCATGATGGCGGAGGGTTGAGCTCACGTCGGTTCGGGGTGGTGTACCTTAAACCCCCCGCCTTCCGAGGCGTGCCCCCGCCCGACGCTCAATCGTCGGCGCGCGGGGGGCCCACGGTGGACGGTCCCGACCCATCCCTTTGATCCCATTTTGGGGGAGGGGTGGCGAGGGCGGCCGTGGGGGCGCTGCGCGCGGCGGGCGGCGCGCTCTTGAATTTGGGTGCAAGATAAGGCTCCGGCTGATAGGATAAAAAAAATGCCCTCGCCGTATTGTAGCACCAATCAAGAGCATAAGAACCACGGTGGGCGGACAAGAAGTGTCCGCACTTGTCGCGCCAAGACAACTCGTCGTCAAACCACGTCGAATGAATATGTATACCCCCCTTTCCCCCAACTCAAAGTTGGCGGGGTTAGGCGACAGGCCGCGCGCCAGGGACAACATGTGGACACTTCAACTTTGGGTTTTGGGGGGGAGGGGTGCGAGGCAAGTGCATCATGCTGTTGCGGTTGTTATCACGTCGCATTGTCTTGCCGCCCTGGGTGTGGACACTTTTTGTCCGGGCACCGTAGGTTTTCGATCGTGAGTAGAACGTAAGCGCGCGGAGCGCGCGCGTGGTTCTAGTGTGATGACATTCTAGAGCGCCTGTCTGCGCACGTGCCGCCTACGAAGCGGCCGCGTGCGGCCACCTGGCGAACCCCCAGAAGCGCCTCCCAACTCTTATAAGCCAAGCTAGAGCCCCTGGTGCAAACACTGTTTTGGCACTTACTTTAAAGCCAAGTGCCCTGACATCCGCCGATCTGCTTTCTGCAGCCTGTGGCCCCAGTGGATCCAACCCATTCCCCACTTTTATGTTTTCGTCTCGGATCCGTTTTTGGTGGTCATGTGGCCTTGAACGGCTTCTGAGGGCCGAAATCGAGGCAAATCGCTTGCGCGGAGTTCTGGGTAGGTGCACCTTGGTGCGATTGTTTGTTTCATCCTATGGCACGTGCCAGTAGTTGCCTGGGCTAAGCATCTCGATCGTACGTTGGGGGGGGGTGGCCTGGCCCCCTCCCCCCAATGCTGGGGTTCGCGAGCATGCTATGGCGATCGCAGCGCGCCCGCGCCCCGACGTGCCCCAGCCCGACCAAGCGTTACCGTTACCCAGGGCCCAAACACGCCCTCCCAGGGTAACGACCTCTAGGCCTCCCAGATGGGGTTCGAGTAGATGGGGTCGGAGGGTCGCGCCGCATCGACGATGCATCGGCGATGCGGCTCGGTGTGGGGTCCGATTTGCTTCAAGTCGACGGCGCCGATGCATCGCCGACGTCGACGATGCATCGCCTGTGCATCGCCTATGCATGGCCGATGCATTGCCGACGCATCGCCGATGCATCGGCGATGCGGCGCGATCCTCCGACCCCATCTACTCCGACGCCACCTAGGAGGCCTCTACGACCATTGCCCGAAGCAGTAACAAACAGTCTCAATGCGAGCACCGTCCGGAGAAAAAGGTCCTGGGCAGCACCGCCGCGCTGGCGCAGACGATGATAGGGACGCCGCACTTCCTGAGCCCAGAGGTGTGCCAGGGCAGGCCGCGCGCGCTGTTCGGGCGGAGGGGGAAGGAGGGAGCTGCAGGAGTCCAGGCCTCCCAGACCTGGTCCGAGTGGGCGGGGACGTCAACGAGGAACACATCGGGCTCCACGTCGAGCCGCATCGCCGATGCATCGACGATGCGGCGCGATCCTCTGACCTCATCTATTCTGACCCCATCTAGGAGGCCTCTAGGGAGCAGGGGCTGGAGGAGGAGGATGAGGAGAAGAGGCATGATGATGACGACGATGCTGATGGTGCTGATGATGCTGATAATGCTGCTGCTGCTGTTGATGATGATTATGATGATGATGATGATGATGGTGACGGTGGTGATGATTGTTATGCTGATGCTGATGATGTTGATGATGATGATGAGGATGCTGATGATGCTGATAATGATGATGTTGATGAGGATGCTGATGATGTTGATGAGGATTCTGATGTTGATGATGATGCTGATGATGTTGGTGGTGGTGATAATGGTGGTGGTGATGATGATGATTATGAGGAGGAGGCGGAGGAGGAGGAGGAGGAGGAGGAGGATGAGGACCCAAGCAGGTGAAACTCGGGCCCCAAAAACACCCCTTGCGAACATTGGGGCCCGACCAGAAGCCTCAGTCGGCCGCAGTTTCGCGAGCCTGGAGACGAGCCCGACGGGCGTCCATCCCCTGAGTATTGATGAAGCCAGCGGAATTGCTGTGAGATGAAGTCCATTCCCCAGGCCCCGTCCGCCCCCCGATCACTTCATTCGTCAGGCGCAGATCCGCTTCCGAGGTCAATGCCACCTGTTCATGGCGCCTGCGGTGCTGCGGGTGCCAGCTGGCCTGGAGCATTCGAAGCTTGTGGGCCCTCCGGGGCGTGAAGGGGAGCTCGCACCGCTTGACAAGCGGAGAGCCAGTACGCTGTTCAGCAAAAGCTCCGCACAGCACATAGTAAAGTAAAGGACGACCGTCCGGGCAATTCGCAAGCTGCGGCGATGTTCAATCTCGCTAGCACGCAGCTCGAGGAGGAGGAGGAGGAGGAGGAAGAGGAGGAGGATGAGGAAGAGGAGGATGAAGCAAGGAAGAGGAAGCAAGGAGCATACCTCATCTTACCCTCGCTCACGTCACACCACTCGCGCCACTACACTTAATGGACAGCGCTGGGCACCTTACACTGCTTGAATGTGGGAATTCGGAGCAGTGACAGGACATCGGCCACCAGAGTGACAGCAGTCCGCAGTCTCTTTTTCTTGGGCTTACGCCGCACCGCCGACCCCGTGGGGGGCTCCTGGTAGGTCTCTCGGGGGCCTCCTAGCAGCACTTTTGAGGTCTTTTGGGGGCCGTTTTGTTGCCTCTTGGGACTTCTTTTGGGCCTCTGGTGGGCCTCTTGGGGGCCTCTTGGGGGCCTCTTGGGGCCTCCTGGAAACTTCTTGGGGCCGAGGGCTCGAAATTTCCGTTCGGGTCCGCCTGGGCCCCTCCTGGAGCCGTCTTGGGGGTCTTTTGGTCCGTCTTGGGGCCGTCTTGGGCCGTCTTGGAGTCTTCTTGGGGGCTTCCTGGGCTGTCTTGGGGCGATCTTGGGGGCCTCTTGAGCCGTCTTGGACGTTGTGAAAGCGCAAGAGGCGAATGTGCTAACATCATACGTTTCCCTGAGGGAATGGGACGATTTTGGCTTCTGGGGCCTTCTTGGGGGCCATCTTGGGCGTCTTGGAACGATTCATCGGTGACTCGGGGCCCTCTTGGACCATCTTGTGGGCCTCTTGGGGCCCTCATGGCCCGTCGTAAGGCCCGTGACGCGATCAGCCGGGGCCGGCCAGACCCCCCTCCTCCAAATCGACCGGAACGGGCCCGGGGGGGAGGGGTTTGGGGAGGGGGAAGCATCTCACACGCCGATGACCCCAAGGGGTCGGCGGATTCATCAGGTTCCTGAGCTCCGTGCTCAACAGGGAGCCGTGGGGATGGATGGAGCTTGAGGCCGTCTTTAGCTGGAAGGTCGGCGTCTTTCTTACCACAGACAGATGCAATCACCTCCTCTGAGCTATGGGCACGCGTACACGTAACATGCCCACTGTGTTCATGCCCCTGACCTTCTTGCGCGCCATTCCAGAAGGGGGAGGAGGGGGAGGAGGAGGAGGAGGAGGAGGAGGAGGAGGAGGAGGAGGAGGAGGAGGTGGAGGAGGAGGAGGAGGCAGAGGAGGAGGAGGAGGAGGAGGAGGAGGAGGAGGATTGTGGGAGAAGGACCGTTGGGAGTCTCTGTCACTAGCTGCCTGAAATAAGAGCTGGACCCCTGGGTAGTTTATGGATGGAGGCTCTGGTCCAAATGGCTCTTGGGCTGCCTGGAGCGCACCCCTCCCCCTCTGTGGGGGGGTAGGGCTGCCCATCTGGCGGCGGGGTACCCCGCTGCGGTGGTATGAGTGCTTGCCTCGCTGCCTCGCGGTCGGCGGTTGTTGCTGCCTCAGTGGGCGCACCCCCTCCGCAAGGAGACCTGCTGTCACGATCCCTTCCCGCCACAATCTCACCCCCGAACTCCACCCCCCCAGAGCGCTCCCCCCGGGTTGATTCTCTGCGTCGAGCAGGCCTGGAGGGGCTCTGGGCTGTCATGCTTCCTTCCCGCCACCCTCTCCCTCCCCCCCCCCCGAGCGGTCCCCCCCGTTGTCGGTTATACCTACGCGCGTGTGTGTGTGTGTGTGTGTGTGTGTGTGTGTGTGTGTGTGTGTGTGTGTGTGAGTGTGTGTGTGTGTGTGTGTGTGTGTGTGTGTTTGTGTGTGTGTGTGTGCGTGTGTGTGTGGGGTCGCAATTAGCCTTGGACTGTCGCGCTTCAGCTTACTTTGAGTTGAGTATTTTCCTCGTCGTCTGGCCGCTGCACTTTTCATTTGGACTTACAGTTCCTCTGACACACCCATTGCTTACATCCTGCGGTTGTGCTGCGGTGCGCCGCGCTATCGACACTTTTCGGTTGCAATTAGCACCTCCATCTCCTTCCCGCGCCTGAGGACCCTCTGCGCCGCTGACTCAATAAAAATGTGTGTATTACTTTGCGTCATCGGGGGACCTTTCCTGTCCTGTAGATGGCAGCCTTTTCTCGTGCTCCGACGTGGGTTCGACGCGGACTCGACGCGGTTTCGTCACGGGTTCGACGCGATTTCGTTTAATAAGTATTTGACACAGCTTCGACGCGCCCGACACGGATTCGACACGGATTCGGCTTGGATCGCGGCGCGACGGGACAGACAAGGTCCCCCGAACATGCAACACTATGTGTATGCTTGCGCAAGGCCAGCGCAATTTTTACAATGTTTGCCCTTCTCCCAGCCCCTTGCCGGCTGCGCCATGAACCGCCTGACTTTGGCGCGGCGCCCTTTTGCCTTCTTGCACTGCCCGGCTCTCCCTTTCATTCCCTCCCGTCGACACTGCGTGCGCGCGGCTCCAGCTGTGCGGGCGTCCGACGCCCTGGCGAGTCGGCGGGCCGCTACGATCGAAAAGTGTGTGTGTGTGGTGTGTGGTGTGTGGTGTGTGGTGTGTGGTGTGTGGTGTGTGGTGTGTGGTGTGTGGTGTGTGGTGTGTGGGGTGGTGTGGTGTGGTGTGGTGTGGTGTGGTGTGGTGTGGTGTGGTGTGGTGTGGTGTTGTGTGGTGTGTGTGTGTGTGTGTGCGTGTGCGTGTGCGTGTGCGTGTGCGTGGGCGTGTGCGTGCGTGTGTGTGTGTTGTGTGTGTTGTGTGAGAGAGAGAGAGAGAGAGAGAGAGAGAGAGAGAGAAAGAGAGAGTTCGATCGGCTTGTGTGTGTTTGTGTGGTGTGTGTGTGGTGTGTGTGGTGTGTGGTGTGTGGTGGTGTGTGGTGTGTGTGGTGTGGTGTGTGTGTGGTGTGTGGTGTGTGTGTGTGGTGTGTGTGTGGTGTGTGGTGTGGTGTGGGTGTGGTGTGGTGTGGTGTGGTGTGGTGTGGTGTGGTGTGGTGTGGTGTGGTGTGGTGTGGTGTGGTGTGTGTGTGTGTGTGAAAGAGCGCTCCTCTGGAGCACTCCTTAGAAAAAGGGGGGCTCAAGCTTCAAGCTACCCCCCCTCCCTTTAAAAATGGGGGGGGGTCCGAAGGTATCCTCCCCTACCCCCTTCCATGGACATTTTTTTGCTGCGGGGCCATAGCTAAAGAGGGTGTGCTTGGAAACTAGCCCCCCCTCCCCACCTTTTCGGGGCCCTGGGTAAGCCCGGGCTCCCCCTTCCAAGGGGGGGGGGGGGCTTCCGAAGCTCCCCCCCTCCTCTTTTGTGCGTCTCTTCATGGGGGCCTCAGAGTGTCTCAACATGCTTTGCATTTTGGGGATTTCGTCGGATTTGGTCGACGTCTGGACGAAATCTGGAAGAAATCCGGACGAAACGGTAAAGCAGAGTGATCGACGTCTGGCAGAACATCAAGTTTATGATCGGGCCGTGGAGGCCCGCATGAAGGCTCTAGTGAAGGCTCTCCCAACTCCCCCTGCAAGTGCGAAAGCCGGCTCTGGGGGGGGTGGGGGGAGGGGCGGGGGCGGGGCCAGAACCTCTGGGGGCCCAGGCTCTCACCCCAGACATCCGGCGTCCCGACTTTTTTCGAAACATGCGCCCCCCGACCCCTCGACCACTTCCCGGGGCCGGTTTTTCAGCCCGAGCCGTTTTTTGACGGTCCCGAGGCCCTGTGAGGGCCCCCACCTCTGTCTCGATCTTTCGAGATGCCAGATGCCTACGATGCAGCCGCCGGTCCCTGGGCCTTGGGGGCGCTGGCCCAGCCATGGGCGGGCCGTGGGCGCACGAGGCCTTACGCGTGGCCCTCCGACATCTGGGCCATGGGCTGCGTCATGTACGAGCTCTGCGCGCTCCGCGTGCCCTTCAACGCGCCCGACCTCGTTCGCCTGGCGGGCCGGGGGGGGCACTGGAAGGGGGGGGCGGGGGAGACGGGGCCCGCCCCGCCTGACTCGGGCGAGGGGCGGGGGCCAGGGGGGGGGGGGCAGGAGGAGGCAGAAGGTGGCAGGGGGGGGCAGGGAGGGAGGGAGGGAGGGAGGGGGAGGGGGAGGGAGGGAGGAGGGAGGAGGAGAGGAGGAGGAGGAGGAGGAGGAGGAGGAGGAGGAGGAGGAAGAGGCGCGCCATTGTATACATGCTCTCAAGGTTCCTGCCACTACATCTGAGCCGAGGAGGGGCTAGGATTCAACAGGGTGCAGCGGTTGTCAATCTACAGGATTAGCCAGATGAGTGTGGCGCAGGGCTTCCCCTTCTTTCTCATATGCTGCACGCCGCTGGGTAATGCAGATAGGGGCCTGCGGAGCAAGCGCGCAGAGGCGCGCTGACCTTTGCGGTGCTCGATCCGCGGGAGGGGCTTGCCAATGGGCGGGAGATCGGCGTGCGAACCCACACGCTCGGGCGGAGTTCCCTGCAGGGCACGAAATGTGTGAGGGGTGTGCCCAACTGAGCGCGGGGTGGCATGCGGACGCACCCAGTAGTGGCGCGAAACGTGTGAGGGGTGTGCTGGAATAAACGAGGTGGCGGCATGCGGCCGCACCTTGCGCCGTGATGGAGCTCCCATGGGGCCACGAAAAGAGAAGGTTGTGCCGAAATGGGCGGGGCGCCGCCATGCGAACCCTCCTTCCGAGGCCGTACTTGAGTGGAGCTCCCGGGGGCACGAAGAGACTGAGGGGTGTGCCGAAATGGGCGCGGCGTGACTATGCGACTGCACCCACTAGGGCCATAATGCAGGGAGTAGTTGAGTGAAGGGGTTTTCGAAGAGGCGCTTGATCACCCTCGTCCTTGCGGACGGCCGCCGGTCGTCCTTGCGGACGGCCGCGGCGATTGGGAGGTGGGGGAGGAGGAGGAGGAGGAGGAGGCGGAGGAGGAGGAGGCGGAGGAGGAGGAGGAAGAGGAGGAAGAGGAGGAGGGGGGAGGACAAGCTAGGTGCGCGGTGCGCTCGTGTCATATATGACAGCTTACCCCTCCCTCCCATCCCTTACCATGGCGTAGATCCCCTCTCTACTCCCACAGTCGGATGTCGAGCAGGGCAATGATCCCGAAAGGGTACGCGATGCATTGTAGAGCACGGCGTGGTATAGCGTTGAAGAGCACCGCAAAGCGTAGTATGTCACAGCATGGCGTGGCGTGGCGTAGTGAAGAATTGCATCACCTTTTTTTTTGCAGCGTAAAGCATGGCATCGCACAGCGGTCCCGAATATAACATTGCATAGCATGGCGGTGAATATCAAAGCGTAGCATGGCAGAGCACGACATGGCACGTAAGCGCTCCTCCTACTCCTCCTTCTCCTCCTTCCCCTCCTCCTCCTCTTGATTATTCTTCCTCCTCCTCAACTGCGAGGACGTCCGAGCGGGAACCGCCGCGTGGTTCATTATCTCCATATCCTGCCTGCGCTCTCCTTGCCACACACGCATTCATCGTCTCCCTGGGTGCCGCCACGAGGAACGAGGGGCGCATCGAACGAGTAAGGGCGCCTGGCCCCTTACGACGCTTCCCTCAGGCTCAGATCGCGGACGAGGAGGAGGAGGAGGAGGAGGAGGAGGAGGGAGGAGGAGGAGGAGGAGGAGGAGGAGGAGGAGGAGGAGGAGGAGGAGGAGGAGGAGAGGAGAGGAGGAGGAGGAGGGAGGAGGAGGAGGAGGGAGGAGGGAGGAGGAGGAGGAGGAGGAGGAGGAGGAGGACGAGGAGGAGGCGGAGGAGGAGGAGGACCAGCTCGCCCTGAAAAATCACCCCGTCCACCCCCCTGGCCCCCGCGCCCTGGATCGCCACCCCGTGCCCCCCCCTTGGCTTTCCAGGCAAGCCCGGAATTGTCAGCCCCCCGTCTGCCTGCCCTGCCCCCCCGCTATCGCGGGGGCGAGGGGGCCCGCGAAACAATGTTTTAATCGTCCGCCCCAGATTTTTTTTTTTTTTTTTGTTTTTTTTTTTTTTTTTTTTTTTTTTTTTTTTTTTTTTTTTTTTTTTTGTTTTTTTTTTTTTTCCTCCCCTCCCCCCTTCATTAGCTGGTCCCACGAGGCCACGACACGTGTGAGGGGTGTACTGAATTGCAGGCGGGTGCGCCACACGAGCTGAACCACTTGGGCCGTAGGTGCAGCTCCCTGTGGGGCCACGACGCGTGTGAGGGGTTTGCCGGGCTGGAGGCGGTAGGGTGCGCCATACGAATTGGCCCGCTGAGGCCGTATGTGGAACTCCGTATGGGGCCACGAACGTGAGAGAGGTGTGCCGAATGGGAAGCGGGTGCCTCATGCGGTCTGGCTCGCTGAGGCTGTATGTGGAGCTCCCTTGGGGCCACGAGTCGTGTATTTAGGCGGGTGCACCATTCGATCTGGCTCACTGGGGTCTTGGGTGGATCCCCACCATGGTGCCACGCAGCGTGTGATGGGTGTGCTGGACTGCAGGCGGTTGCGCCATACGACCTGGCCCTTTGGGTTCGTAGGTTGGGCTATCCATGGGGCCACGCGAAGCGTGAGCGGGGTGTCCCGCATTGCAGCTCCGTCATACGAACTGGTGTGGAGTTCCTTCTGGGGATTTCGTGCGAGGGGCCTCCCAATTCGGAGGCGGGTGCGCCGTGCGAGCTGGCCCACTGGGGCAGTAGGTGGAGCTCCCTAGGGGGCCACGAAGCTCCCCATGGGGACACGAAGCGTGAGGGGTGTGCCAAGTTGGAGGCGGCTGCGCCATGCGAGCTGGCCAACTGGGGCTGCGGGTGGAGCCCTTCATGGTCTGTGAGAAGGACAGGGGGGGGGGATGAGGGATGAGGGAGGGGTGGAGCGGGGTGTGGCGGAGTAGCGCCTGGAAGGGAGAGGGTGTGCGGGCCCCCCCCTCCTTGCAGTGCCCCCCAGGTGAACAAAGTCTGCCGGGGCCCGCTGCCGCCCATCCCGGGCTGCTATTCGAGCTTTGTCCGGCAGCTGCTGGGCGAGATGCTGCACAGGTCGCAGGGCCAGCGGCCGAGCGCCGAGGCGATCCTGCACCGGCCGCCGATGCAGGCCAGCGGTTTGCGGGGGCGGGGCCGAGGTTACTCCGAAGGGGCGCCCCGTTGCATCCCTGCCCGTCTGATGCGTTCCAGATAAGCCCCCGCCTTCGGGGGTCGAAGGGTTGGCATCTCTTCCTCGGCGGAAGTCGGCGTAGGGCGGGCGGAAGGCGGCGGAAGCCGGCGGAAGTAAATATCGGCCTCCCAGATGGCAGGGTTTTGGGTTTCCGGAACCCGCCGTTCCATAGCTTTGCTTCCAGGGAGCCAGGCCTCTTTGACGACGGCCACCGACGGTCCTGGCCCAACACAGGCAGATTTGCCTGCCGCCCAGTTGATGATGGCTTGCCTCTCCGGTGGAACTTATGCTGCCCCCCATTCGGCAGCTTGCGCTGGCCGCTCACTTTCCAGTACTCAGCGGGTGAAGAACGATCTAGAATAAACATGTCTGCCGTCGGGGACGCCTGCCCCAGGGGGGGGAGTGGTTTATACCCCTGCGGTGCCGCGCTGGGGCATAAGCTTTTCAGCCGCCCTGGGGCAGGCATCCCCGACGGTGTGTAACAGTTTATGTTGCACCGCTCTTCGCTTCCTAGAGTACATCGATGCTCGGTGCCTGAGGCCGACTGCGCACTCCTCGTTGCGAAGATTCTCTACTCCCGGGGCCCCGCTCCGCATTCCTCCTCGAGGAGGAATGCGGAGGGGGGCCTCGGTGCGGCTCCGCGCCTGGGGGCCCCTCCCCGGCCCCCCCCCCCCCGGACGCCCTTCTCTCGTTGCTCTGGTTGCCAGCTGTGCCCCTGGCCTGGCGCGGCCCGCCAGCTCTCCGAGCGCGTTGGCGACCGCCCCTCGCCGCGGGCCCGTCCTCGGCCGGTGCTTGCCGGCCTGCCCCTCGCAGGGTGCCGCTGCCCGGTGGTTCAGAGGTGGGGTCCTATAAGGGCCCGGTGGTTCCTCGGGCAAGCCGGATTCAGCCTGGGGCCCCTGCCGATGCTCAGGGCCCCAGCCCTCAGGGATCCCCTCCTTGAACCTCCGAGTGGCAGCTCGGACGCCCGGGGGACTCACATCCCTCGACCCTGCAGGGCCCAGTTCTCGGGACGACCGAAAGGGGTACGGACAGGTGGGATACGAAGACCGGCAGCAGCGCCTGTTCATGTTGAGCAGGACTCGCTGTGGGTGTCGCCGCGGGCGTTGTCCACTTGAGACAGCAGGCCGCCTGCCCAACAGCGGCCGCTGTCGGTTTGGGGCAACATTTGCTGTTGGGCATCGTATGCATTTTTCTGTATTCATCTCGGGCGTCCAAAAGTTCGGCCCGAGCGATCCGATTCGACATCGATGTCGGCCGGCCCCATCCGATTCGATTCCGATGATCCGACGAGCCGATGCGGCCCGATGCCCGGATGGCGCCGTTGCGCATCCTGGCGCGGCCGGTCCGATTCGATTCCGACCCCTCGACGATGCAGATCCGACGTGGATTCCGATCTGGTCCGATTTCCCGATCCGATGCCGATTGAACCTGCAGCGTAGTCCGCTGTCAACCGCAGGGGCGCGAAGGTGGCTGCGCATTCGCTGTCAGAAGCCAGACGTTGGCGGCGAGCCCAGGCGGGAAGTGGAGAGGGGGCAGGCCCGCTCAGAGGGTGGCGGAGGTTCTCAGAGGCCCTGGCGCCTTCTGAGAAGCTCCCGGGGCCTCTGCCGAGGGCAGGGGCGGCTTCTCCGAGGGCGCGAGGGTGTCCGAGAGCCCCCACCGCCTTCTGCGAAGGCCTGCGCCCTCTCCACTCCCCCCCTTTGGGCTCGCTGCCGAAGCTGCCTGCTCTGCCTGCGGGTGCTACAGCGCCAGAGGCCCGACGCCAGAGGGCCTTTCGAGGCCCGCGCCAGGCACCCGTCCGTGCCCACCGTGGCTTGGAGACCGTGCCTTCGAGAGTCTCGCGGAGCGTTGGGCGTGGATGCCTTCCCCGGACAGCGCCTCGGACGAATGGAGGCGAAGGTTCTTCAGCGTTGTCGGCCTCTCGGGGCCCTTGCCAGGCCTCGGAGCCGTCAAACAACGACTGGGGATGAAGAACCCGTCCCGGGGGGAATGGTCGAGAGGTCAGGGGTGACGCCCCATTTCTGGGAATACGGACGGGAACTTTTGGCTTAGCGTGTCGCTCCGCTGGTTCTGGCCCACCTCGCTTCGGCGCGACACGGCTATCCACTTCCCAGTCCCCCAGCGTCAACGTCGCGGGCTTTTCTCAGCCTCCCGCCCCGCGGAGCGGAGCGACGCGCTACCCGCTCGCAGGGCATAGCGTGTCGCTGGGGACGCCGCTGCGACACTGTCACCATACGTTCCCGACCGTGAATCCCAAGCGCGGACCAGGTTCCACCGAATTCGCCCGTCTAAGTCAGGTTCGTGTCGTGTCGACGCGGCGGCGCCCAGGCGCGGGCGTTCAAGTTTGAACGCCGCCAGTGCCCCGCAATCGTCCGGCATCGACCGCTCTGAGCTATCATCGGAGAGTCGCGCTCGTTCAAGGTTGAGCGATCCACGCGGTGCTGGAAGCCGACGCCGACGTCGACACGGCACAAACCCGCCTCAGTCTGTCGGTCGCTCCTCCACCCAGTCTTGGGCTCGGCCGCCGGGTCGAACCATGCACGCGTTGCCAGAAGCCGACGCCGACGTCGCCGCACTCTGCTGGCCGGCCCTCAAAACCCAGTCTCGGGGGCCCGGCCGCTGGGTCGAACGGCCCGCGCGGTGCCAGAAGCCGGCGCAGGCGCCGCTGCACGCTGCTGGACGGCCCTCAGCTCAGACCTCCTCAGAAGTGTTTTTTTCCAACCCGCGGCCCCAGAGGTCCGACCCCTTCCCGGGGGATGTGTTTTCGTCCTCGATCGGTTCCCGGGGCCGGAGCAAACGGGGCCCCGGAGGCCAGAGTCGAAGAAAAGCCGCCGGTTGAAAGTCTTGTCGTCGGAAAGCTGGGACCCAGTCTTGGGCCCGGCCGCTGGGTCGAACGATGCGCGCCGTGCCAGAAGCCGACGCGCAGGAGCGACGTTTCGCCAGAGTGACTTTTGCTGCGGGCCCAAAGTCGGGGGTTCGTAGAGGGAGGGTTATTCCAAGGTGGGGCTGGGGAACGGGCCCAGCTGGGTGCTCCTGTTTAACGCGTTTCCTTCTTCAGGGGCCGTGCGGAGCGGTTTTCCTTCCAACCCTACCTGCGCCCCAACCCCACCCTTGTCCCCCCCGACAAAGGGGTCCACCCAGGCACTGCCCCGCGCGCTTGGATCCGGGCCCTCCGCGGCCCCCTAAAGCCGCGCACCAAAGGTCCCTCTTGCCTAGGCTCACTCTTGCGTGTACAGTGGAGGCCCATGCCAAGAAACACCCTGCTTGCTTCCAGGGTGCCCTGGGTTTCTTGGGATTCGATGGTTTTGCTATGGACAGTGTGACGTTCCCAATGGACGTCCTGGGGTCTCAGGGTTGGGTTTCTCTTGTGGAAGGTTTCTTGTGGCCGAGCTCCTACTGTAGCCGAGAAGCCGACGCCAGCGTCGCCATCTTCGACCGGCCGCTCCGCAGGCGAGGGTGCGGCGGCTGCTGGAGCAGGCGCAGGCGGCCCCCGCCGGCAGCAGCGGCAGCAGCGGCTCCGAGGGCCTCTCGGGACTCCGGGCTTCGACAGTGAAGCGCCCCGGGCAAGGGAGGTGTCACAGATCTCTGACGACACGTTTTCCTCAATCCCGCCGTTCTTCCTTCGATGTCGGCCTCCGGGGGCCGTCATCTGGCCCTGGGACCATCCGAAAAGGATCGAGATCTGTGGCTTGGGACTGAAAAGTCATCTCGGCGGATGTCAGGGTGTGACGGGGTGGCGGGAGGCGGATGCCCCAGATCATCATCACCACCATCACCACCACCATCATTATCATCACCATCATCAGCAACATCAGCATCACAATCAGCATCAGCATCAGCATCATCATCACCATCAGCATCATCATGATCATCAGCGCCCTCATCGCCATCACTTTCGCTATAGTCATCATCAGCGTCATCATCTCCATCTTCGTCGGCGTCATCATCATCAGCATCATCACCACCACCATAATCATCATTATCATCATCTTCATCATATTCATCGTCAGTGCCATCATCAGCATCAGCGTCATCATCACCATCGTCATCACCATCACCATACTCATAGTCAACATGGTCACCATCATCATCACTATCACCCTCATCATCAGCAGCATCATCATCATCATCATCATCACCAAGCCCATCATCATCACCATCATCATCATCATCACCATCGTCATCATCATCATCATCATCATCCTTCTCATCATCGCCATTATCGTCCCCATCAATATAGTCAGCTTTATTTTTGCCATCACCACCATCACCACAACCATCCTCCTCTTCCTCCTCCTCCTCCTCCTCCTCCTCCTCCTCCTCGTCATCATCATCATCATCATCATCATCATCACCATCACCATCACCATCACCATCACCATCATCATCACCATCATCATCATCATCATCACCATCACCATCACCATCATCATCATCATCATCATCATCATCATCATCATCATCATCATCATCATCATCACCATCATCATCATCATCGTCATCATCACCACCACTGTTACCACCATCTCCATTTCGGCACACTGCTCACGGAGCTCCCTCTGGGGCCACGAAACGTGAGACATGGTTCGTGGCCCCACAGGGAGTTCCACCTAAGGCCACAGTGCCAGGGCCCTCATGCCTTCTACGTACCATTTCGGCCCACCCCTCACGCGTCTCGTGGCTCCAGAGGGAGCCCCATCTACGGCCACAGTGCCATGGCCCGCATGCCTTCTTCGCACAATTTCGGCGCACCTCTGACACGTCTCGTGGCACAAGAGGGAGCTCCACCTAATCCCCCAGTGTGCCATGGCCCGCATGCCTTCTCCATACAATTCTGGCGCACTTCTGACACGTTTCGTGGCTCCAGAGGGGGCTCCATCTAAGGCCCCAGTGCCAGGGTCCGCATGCCTTCTCCACACAGCTTCGGCACACTGCTCACACGTTTCGTGGCCCCAGAGGGAGCTCCATCTAACGCTCCAGTGCCAGGGCCCGCATGCCTTCTCCACACCATGTCAGCACACCTCTGACACGTTTCGTGGCAAAAGAGGGAGTTCCACCTAAGGCCTCACTGCCAGGGCCCGCATGCCTTCTCCACACCATTCCGCCGAACCCCTCACGCGTTTCGTAGTCCTACAAGGAGCTGCGCCTACGGCCCCAGTGCCAGGGCCCGCATGCCTTCTTCACACCATTTCGGCGCACCTCTGACACGTTCGTTTCGCTATTTCGTTACCCCACAGGAAGCTCCACCTATTGCCCCAGCACTTCTGACACGTTTCGTGGCCCCAGAGGGGGCTCCAGCTAAGGCCCCAGTGCCAGGGTCCGCATGCCTTCTCCACACAATTTCGGCACACCACTCACACGCTTCGTTGCCCCATAAGGGGGCTCCACCGAAGATGATAACACTCACAGCTACATTGCTCACAAATGGATATGTTTGGGTCCTTCGCCAAGCTAATTTCAATCCTCGCGTTTTCCTCGATTTCGGCCTCCAGAGGCCGTTATCTGGCCCTGGGGTCATCCAAAATGCACCCGTGGCGAAAACCTGGCCCTGGGGAAGAAGTCGGGAGCTCTGGGGCCAGAGACAGAGCAGATCACCTCGGCGGATCCAGGTTGTGACGGGACGGCGGGACAGGAGAGTCTGCTCTTCCGAGATCTGGGCGCCCCTTTCTTTCGCGCGGCGTCTTCGCCTGGTTTCGGGCCCGGGGACCTGTGCAGATTGATTTGGCTCGGGACGTGCCGCAGAAAGGTGGGGTCGAGGGCTACGGTCGTGGTTTCTAAGATGTCTTTTCGGCTCCAGTGAGCGGGGTAGATGGCTCTTCCTTCTCCTCCTCCTCCTCCTTCCCCTTATCCCCTTCCTCCTTGTTCCTTTCCCTCCTCCTCCTCTCCTCCCGCGTCCCGTGAGCGCCCCCGGCAGCTTTCGTCAACGGCGTTTTGCCAGAGGGGATTCTGTCGATCCTCGACAGGTGCCCCTGAGGCCCCGATGGGCCAAGACGCCCAGATGCGTCCAAGGCCCTCTTCTCCTCGCTCCCCGAGGGTCGAGGACACAGCTCTCTGCGACCAGTCGCGAACCCTGCCTCAGCTGTTCCAACCGACGAGGTGGTATGGGACACCCCCGGCGGGGCTCCTGTGGCTGCAGACATCTCTCGAATTATGAATCTCAGCCGATGTTTCGTACATCGGACCTGAAGGGGTACAGTGGAAGCCCATGCCAAGGAACACCCTGCTTGCCTCCTGGGTGCCCTGGGTTTCTTATGTTTCGATGGTTTTGCTATGGAGAGCGTGACGTTCCCACACCAAACATCAGTGGACGTCCTGGCGTCCCAGGGTTGGGTTTTTCTTGTGGAAGATTTCTTGTGGTCGAGCTTCTACTGTAGGGTTCACATGTGGTGTTGCCTAGAGATCAGCATCCTGGAGGCCCGGGGGCCTCTGTGGCCAGAAGCGGCCGCGCCCGGGGGGCGGGTCCAGCCTCGTTGCCCTCGCCGCCGCCGCCGCCGAGGTCGGCGAGTCCGCCGCCGCCGCCGCCGCCGAGGTCGCCGCCTGCCGCCGCCGAGGCCGCCGCTGCCGCTGCGTCAGCGCGGGCCCCGACGCGGGCGTCTTGAATTCCATGAGTTGCATCTTGAGTTCAAAAGACACGCTTGCTAAAGTCAGAAGCAGGGGTACTTGATTAACGCTTGGTCTCCCGAAGTGAAGAAAGTTGGTTTCTGGCACGGAGGAATTGTTCCTTGCCTTTGCAGCATGGCTCCTTGACCTCAAGCGCTTTGCTTTCGTAGCCAAGAGTGGCACGTTTGTTTTGTTAATTCCTTACCTAGGCTCTGCCTAGAAGGGTTCTTACTGTATTAGCTTAAAGGGGCCGGGCAGTGGGGCTCGGCCCGGGCGGTTCCCCCGGCATCCGTCCCGCGGTTCCCCCCGGATCCTGGGAGCTTTAGCTTTAGCTTTAGCTTAGCTTTAGCTTAGCTTTAGCTTAGCTCAAGCTTAGCTTTAGCTTAGGTTTAGCTTAGCTTTAGCTTAGCTTTAGCTTAGCTTTAGCTTAGCTTTAACTTAGCTTTAACTTAGCTTTAACTTAGCTTTAACTTAGCTTAGCTTTAGCTTAGCTTCAGCTTAGCTTTAGCTTAGCTTTAGCTTAGCTTTAGCTTAGCTTTAGCTTAGCTTTAGCTTAGCTTTAGCTTAACTTCAGCTTATATTTAGCTTAGCTTTAGCTTAGCTTTAGCTTAGCTTTAGCTTAGCTTCAGCTTAGCTTTAGCTTAGCTTTAGCTTAACTTCAGCTTAGCTTTCGCTTAGCTTTAGCTTAGTTTTATCTTAGTTTTAGCTTAGCTTTAGCTGAGCTTCAGCTTAGCTTCAGCTTAGCTTTAGCTTAGCTTCAGCTTAGCTTTAGCTTAGCTTTACTGTTACTACTAATGCTGCTTTCCTAGGGGCTCCAACTCCTAGGTAGGGTCGCACAGGGATAATTCAGGGAGCCAGCTTTTCAGAACTCAAGGAACTGAACTTAAATCGGGCGTGTCCCTCTACGGGAGGATTATTCACACATAGTTAAACAATAGCCTGAGTTTTTTTTGAGATATGTATATCTATATATAGAGAGTAGATAGTATGTTTGAATATCTTTTGACTATTGCGAAGACCTTACGGCCAGTGCCGCCGACCCTGAATGGCGGCGACGACGACGACGAGCGCTCTCGGGGGCCTCTTCGGGGTAGTTTGGGGGCCTCTTGGGAAGCTCTGGGGGGCCGCTTGGAAGCCTCGTGGGGGCCTCTTGGGATCTCTGGGGGTCTCTTGGGGGCTTCTTGGGGCTTCTCGCGGGGCTTCTTAGGGACCTCTGGGGGCCTCCTGAGAGCTTCTCAGGCCGAGGGCTCGAAATGTCCGTTCGGGTCCCCCGTCTGGGCTCCTCCTTGGAGCCGTCTTGGGGGTTTCTTCGGCTGTCTTGGAGGCCTCTTGGTCGGTCTTGGGGCCCTCTTGGGTCGTTTTGGGGCTCTCTTGGAGGCCTCTTGGGCGATATTGGGGCGGTCTTGGGGGCTTCTTGGTCTGTCTTGGAGCGTCGGGAAGCTGACAAACAAGGCGAGAATGCCGATTTTTTTCAAAAACCCAAGGGAAATCTATGATTTTTGCGCCTTGTGGCCCTCTTGGGAGTGCCCTTGGAGTGGGAACTTCCGAAGCTGTCTGGAGGCTATCGCGACTTGGACCGATACTTCGGCGATTCGGGTCCCTCGAGGACATTCTTGGGGGCCTCTCGAGACACTTTTGCTACGTCTTGGGGGTTGTCTGGGCTCCCGAACCGCCCAGAGGGGAGTCGTATCTGACCTGGGACCCCCCCGGGACCTGCCCCCGTACCCTCCCCCCTGGGACCTGCCCCGGGACCCCCCGCGGGACCCCCCCTGGGACCCCCCCCCGGACCCCCCCCGGGACCTCCCCGGGACCCCCCCCGCCGGGCAAGGGATCAAAGGGAATGGGCTTCCCTTCGACTCAACTACAGCGCTGCTCAATTTCGCTGTGGTTGGCGCGCTCGAAGAGGAGGGCCCTGTGAAAGTAGAGGCAGCGGCGCCAAGCTCAGGGAAAGGGAGGGGACCGGCGACGGCGACAGCGACGACGACGACAACAACGACCACGACGACGACGAGGACGAGTCAAACGAAGCAGCCTCTTCCACACGCCGACAGGGTTGGCGGTTTTTTATTTTTCCTCCAAAATCCGCCTGTATGGGGGACGTGCCCGAAACTAAGCTCTGCCCGCCGCGCCGCCCCCCCCACCGAGGAGGCCCCACGGCTGCCGCGCGGCGCCGCGTGGCGGCCTCTCCTCGCGGCCGGCCGCCGCCGCCGGCCTCGGCGCAGCAGGCCGCGGCGGGCGCCGCCGTGCCGCTCGTCGCCGCTGCGGGCGCCGCCGCCGCGGCGCGGCTCGGCGCTCGGCCAGAGAGCCCCGCGGCGCGGCGGCGGTCGCCGCGGCGCGGCGGCGGCGGCGAGGCCTCGCCGCGGCGGGGGCGCCTCAGCGGAGTGCCGCCGCGGCGCGGCGGCGCCCGCCGCGGAGCTCCGCGCGGAGGGGCCGCGGCCGCGGAGCTCCGAGCGGAGCTCCGCGCGGAGCTCCGCGCGGAGCTCGCGAAGCCCGTCGCCCCGTGCGGGCCCCGCCCGTCGCCCCGTGGGGCCCCGCCCACCCGGGGGGCGCCCCGCGGCGCCGTGTCGGAGGCTCCTCCGCAGGCGTCGGCGGCCCTTCAAGCGGTGCAGTCACCACACCGTGTGGTGAGTCAGTGGGGATTCGGGGTGGCCGCACGGTTTTGGGACTCGGGCCGCTCTCCGACAGAGGGTGCCTCGGGCGACTGGGGCCTCCGAGGCCCCAAACACTGTGCGGTGAGGGATCGTGCCGTGAGGTCTTTGGGGCGTCCGAGGTCACCGCGCCATTTGGGCGACCCCTAAGCAGGTGCCCCGGGGGGGACCTGGCGGTTGCGCCGCCGCAGCAGCGCCGCGGCGAGGCGGCCGCGGCGGCTGCGGCGCCCGCGCCGCTCGCCGAAGGGGACCTCACGAGGCTGTGCGCGGAGCTCGGTCTCGGCGCCGCCCGCGCGGGGCTCGGCGCCGCCCTCGCGGGCGCCGCGCCGCCCGCGCGGCGAGGCTCCGAGGCGGCGGGCGGCGCCGACGATCCGTCGGTCACGGCGCTGCTGGAGCAGGAATTGGAGCGCATGGCTGCGGAGGAGGTCGGCGCCTCCTCCCCCAGCCCTCCTCGTCCTCCTCGCCGTTCGCCTCCTCGTCTCTCCCTCGCCGTCCGCCTCCTCCCCCTTCTCCTCGTCCTCATCATCACCACTACCATCACCATCATCGCCATCATCGTCATCGTCATCATCATCATCATCATCATCATCATCATCATCATCATCAGCAGCAGCAGCAGCAGCAGCAGCAGCAGCAGCAGCAGCATCATCATCATCATCATCATCATCATCACCACCACCACCATCATCATCATCAGCATCAGCATCAGCATCCGCATCCGCATCCGCATATGTATCATCATCAGCAGCATAATCATCCCCATCACCATCACCAGCATCATCATCATCATATCATCATCATCATCATCATCATCACCGCCATTACCATCACCTTCTTCATCATCACCATCATCATAATCATCATCACCGCCACCACTCATCATCATACTCATACCCACCATCATTATAACCACCATCATCACAATCATGCTCACCATCTGCATCATCATCCTCATCATCACCATCATCACCATCATCATCATCATCACAGTCATCGTCATCGTCATCGTCGTCGTCGTCATCATCATCGTCATCATCATCATGATCATGATCATCATCGCCATCATCATCATCATCATCTTTACCACCATCATCACCACCACCATCATCATAGCCATCATAATCATAGTCAGCATCACCATCACCATCATCACCATCATCATCAGCATCATCATCACCAACATCATCACCAACATCATCATCATCACCATCATGAACATCGCCATGATCATGACCACGGTATCTTTATGAACACCAGCATCAAGATCACCATCACCATCTGCACCATCATCATCTTCACCATCATCATGCTCATTTGGATCATAATCATCTTCATCAGCATCAGCATCAGCATCAGCATTAGAATCATCACAATCAGCTGACCCCTATTTCACTTCATGATAGATAAATCCCCCCTGATCGCGCCATCAGGCGTGACGGTCGGGCGGACCGGGCACGATGAGGTCCTTTTGGGGGTCCAGGTCCACTATGACGCCTGTCGGAGGATAGAGACACGTCAGCGCAATGGGCAGGGATGGGTGGGAGGGGTAGGATGCCAGGTATGGCGCGAGCACGCCTAGCTTGCCCCTCCGCCCTCTCCTCCCTCCACTCTCCTACCCCTGCCCCTCCCCACTCTCGTTCTCCCGCCGCCCCCCCCAGGCCGCCCATGGAATCGGGCCGTTCTGCCCTGCCGCCCGCGGTGGTTGACCTGAGCCGCCATGATGCTGCTGCTGCTGATGATGATGATGATGACGATGACGATGATTATGATGATCATGATGATGATTGTTATGATGATGATACTGCTGCTGCTGATCATGATGCTGGTAATGATGATGATGGTAGTAATGATGGCGACGCCGACGATGATGACGATGTTGTTGATGATGACGATTATGATGATGATGCTGATGATGAGGATGGTGATGATGCTGATTGTGATGGTGATGACGATGATGATGCTGATGACGACGACGATGTTGATGATGTTGATGATGCTGTGCATGACGACGATGATGATGAGGATGAGGCTAAGGATGATGGTGATGATGCTGATGATGATGATAATGATGATGAAGACGGTTGTGGTGGTGGTGATGTTGGTGATGATTCTGATGACAATGCTGGTGATGATGACGATGATGATGGTGATCATCGTGATGATGACAATTCTGATGATGCTGACGCTGATGATGATGCGGATGATGATGCTGATGATGATGCTGATGATGATGGTGCTGATGATGACGAGTCTGATGATGATGATGCTGATGCTGATGCTGATGATGATGATGCTGCTGATGCTGCTGATGATGACGACGACAAGGAGGAAGCGGAGCAGGTGGAGGAGGAGGACAAGCACAAGGAGGAGCATATGGAGGAGGAGGAGGAGGAGGAGGAGGTGGATCAGGACGAGGACGAGGAGGACGAGGACGAAGACGATGATGAGGGCACTCGAGTGTCGAGCTTTTTGTGCCCACGGGTCCAAACAGCCCTCCCCCTCGCCTGCCAGCCCCCCAGCCTGCGCGCGAGGGGAGCCCACGCCCTCCCCGCCCCCAAGGTTTGCGACCCCAGGAGTTGCGATAGAGTTCGACGGCATTTGTTTTTTGTTGGATGTGGACCAGGACGAGGATGACGATGGTGTTTGGTTTCGTGATGATGATGGTGACGATGATGGTGAAGAGGAGGATGGTGGTGGTGGTCATGACGATGGGGATACTGGAGACGACAATGACGATGACCATGGCGATGGCGGTGACGATGACGACGGCGACGTCGACGATCATGACGACGACGTTGACGATATATACTGACGGAGGGTGATGGTGATGATGGTGGTGGTGATGATTGTGATGCTGCTGATGATGATGCTGATGATGATGATGATGATGATGATGGTGATGGTTGTGATTCTGAGGACGACGACGGCGATGATGCTGATGATGCTGATAATGATGAGGAGTATGCTGATGATGATGATGATGACGATGGTAATGATGATGCAGATGCGGAGGTTGATGCTGCTGATGGTAATGGTGATGGTGTTGGTGATTCTGACGATGCTGGTGACGATCAGGGTGGCGATGACGATTATGTTGGTGATGATGACGGACGGGCGCAGACGATGGTGGTGGCGATAGCTGTGATGACGGTGATAATGCAAATGACGATGATGGTGATGACGACGATGATGATGTGGACGATGTTGATAACGATGATGATGCTGATGATGCTGATGCAGTTGATGATGCTGTGGATGATGATTGATAATCTGATGATGGCGATGATGATGACGATGATGATAGTGATGCTGTTAATGCTGCTGTCGATGCTGATGCTAATGCTGTCGATGATGGGTTGATGGTGATGATGGTTATACTGGTGATGATGATAGTGATGATGACTATGATGACGATGATGATGATGATGATGATGATGATGATGATGATGATGATTATGATGATTGATGATACTGATGACGTTGATGTTGATAATGCTGCTGCTGATGATGGTGATGATAAGGTTGACCATACAGGTCATGGTGATTATGCTGATGATGGTAATGAGGATGCTGCTGACGATGATGATGATGATGATGATGATGCTGATGCTGAGGATTAGGATGATGATATGATGATGCTGAAGCTGATGATGGTGATGATTATGCGCATGATCAGGTTGGTTATACTGCTGATGATGATTATGCTGAGTGTTGATTGTTGTTGGCGTTGTTGATGATGCTGATGCGGATGATGATGATGCTAATTCTGATTATGCTAATGATGATGATGATGATGATGATGATGATGATGATGATGATGATGATGATGATGATGATGATGATGATGATGATGATGCTGATTATGATGCTGATGCTGATGATGCTGATGATGATGGTTGACGATGATGTGGTGTTTTTTGGTGGTGTTGATTGTATTGAAGCAGAAGACGAGGAATATGAGGACGAGGAAAAGGAGGAGGAGGAGGAGGAGTAGGACTAGGAGGAGGAGGAGGAAAAGAAGGGGAGCAGGAGAAGGAGGTACATCGGTGCTCCGAAATGTTATTTCAAATTGCGAAGCACGGGTCCACGCGGATTGCAAGTCGCTGCAATAAGGAAGTCGTGCACGAGCCTCGCGGACCTGGGCAGAAACTGCGCTCGGAAGCGAATGCTGACAAATCTGACCCGCGTTATTATTATAAATAATTATTTGTATTAACGATTTCCGGGTCCGTCGGACAGGACCCGAAATATTTGTTTGCACAAGTCCCAGGCAAGTCGGCCGTCTGCTAGTTGGCGGGTTAAAATTTTAGGCCGTCTTGGGGGGAGCCCCGATCGGTTTCCGGAAGAAATCCTATGCGGTTTGCTCGTTTCGGTCCGTACAGCGAGTTAGCTTTACACATTGGGAACTGAAGCTCGATTCCAGCCCAGAGGGCGGGGGGCTGGGTTCACTTTGTTCCGGGCCTTTGCGACCAAACGGGACGAGTCGCTGGTCCTGCCCCAAACCCCGCCGCTCCTCCACCCTCGCTCGCAGAGCGGCTCCCGCTGGCCATCTTCGATCTCGCGCCGGCCTCGCTGGCGACAAGATGCACCGTGGCAAAGGTAGGGGATCTTTCGGATCGGCCCAGAATTTGGAGTACGGGGAGGAGGAGGAGGAGGAGGAGGAGGAGGAGGAGGAGGAGGAGGAGGAGGAGGAGGAGGAGGAGGAGGAGGAGGAGGAGGAGGAGGAGGAGGAGGAGGAGGGGGGCGGGGGATAGAGACAATCAATCAGGATCGGCGGATGGAGGACGGATGGGCACATATGCACAGCCAGCCAGCCTGCCAGGGGCACTTCCTTAGATGCACGGTCGGTCGCTCCAGGTTCCTCGAGGCGGTCGACCAAGCTCAGCTGCACGCAGCTGATTCGCCACCCTCCCGCTTTGCACCCCCAGCGCTTGGTCTTCCCCCCGTCGCTCACGAGCGGTGAGCATATCCATGCCCACGCCCTCGTGGTCTGGACTCCAGGGTGCGATCCCGTGGATACGCGGTCGCATGGGTGCGTTCTGCGCGGGACATCCGCGAGAAAGCGCCCCGCATATTCGGGGTCGCAGCCGAGGGGCCCGAACCGCGAGGCTGCGGATGTGGATCTGTTTTCCGTCCATGATCCCCGCGTCTCCCTCCCCCCCACCCCCGAGCTGGAGGAGTTGGAGTTGGGGCGGGTTCGGCAACCAGAGCTGCAGGGCAGCTTCTGCGCGTCATCGTCGGGCTCCTTCTCTCCTTCCTGGGGCGGTCGCGAAGGAGGGGGTGAGAGAGAATATTCGGTATTTTGCCACAACGGAATGTCGGCCACGACAAGTTTTATTCCAAGCGCCAGAGGTGACGATAATAGCCAAAGCGGCAAGTGCAAGGCCAGACTGCAGAGGCATCTCGATGTTATGCTGAGATGACACTGTCAAACATTTCGTCGTCCTGCTAGGACGGTGTTCGTAGGATAAAGCTTGTGCAAAAGTGCCAAGCAAATTATTTGCAAGACTGGCCGCCGCTCTGCTTGCATCTTGCAGCTCCAGCCTCAATACTCCTGCTGTCGCGCAGATGAACCCCACAAGCTGGCGGCATTTCAGGCAAAACAGGCTCCTCCCCCTCCTCATCGTCTGCTTCCTCCCTCCTTTTCTTCCGCCTCCTCTTGTTCCTGCTCCTTCTCCTCCCTCCTTCCCCTCCCTTCTCCTGCCCCTACTCCCTCTTATCGTCCTTCCGTTCCTGCTACTCGTACTCGCAGAGGTCAGCTTGGGGGGTCGGTGTTTGCCGGCTAACGCGCCCTCGTTGTTTGAGTTTTGCTTGCTTGCTTGCTTGCATTCCATTCTGACTATTGCCCCTACTTCCTACCTCCCGAAGACCGACTCGCTACAGGGCCTAGCAGTGGTCACGAGTTGCCCCCACAGGATCGCACCCTGGGAGGTCACCTGCTCCCGTCGCCAGGTGAACTCTGCGCGTGCCCGTTCGAGGATGGTGCCCCCGGACCCCGCGCCCATCCCACCTTTCTCTTGATGCTGCGCCGCCGAAAGGGGAGGGTCCCGATGCGTCCACAACGTGAATGGTCTTAGTCTTAGTGTGTACAGATACGCACGTATAGATATGCAGAGAGGAGAGAAAGAGGGAGAGAGAGAAGGATATACATGTTTCTATTTAGATGTATATGTATATATGTATATATACATATAGAGAGAGCACAACAGCGAGAGAGACAGTTATGTATAGACAGATATAGAGATAGAGCGATCTATATATAACGAGAACGAGAGAGAGAGAGAGAGAGAGAACGAGAGACATGGAGAGGGGGAGAGAAAAGGACAATAAGAGAGAGAGAGAGAGAGATAGAAAGAACAAGCCTGGCCAGCAGCGCCTTTGAGCGCACAGTCATGGCAGCCTGTCATGCGGTCTCAAGTAAGTTTAAGCAGCAGCATGGCTCATGCTGCTGCGCAACCTCGAGAGGCTGACGCACTGTCAGGAATATCGTTGCCAAGTCTCCCATCTCGGGCCCGCGCTCTAAGTGCTTCGAATAATGCCAGAGCTGAGAACGCGTGGCAACTCCGAGGGGTACTCCTTTAGTACCACACACCCACCCTTCTAGTCGCCGCTATGTGTCCCGCAGGATGCTGACACCGCCACCTCGCTGTAACAGGATTGAGCAATCTGCTGAAACTCTCCATGTTCGCAGTGAGAAGCATGCTCG